AAGCTGAAATTCGACTCGAACACGCTGTTCACCTGAGATATGGGGGCTTAAACTTCAGGATTCTGGGCTTCTCAAAACTGTGCACCCGCAGTGGCCCCAAAATGCCCGGCAGTTTTGAGCAAGGAAACAGGGGTTGGGCGGTTTAGGGGTCAAAGTCCTCTCAGTATAGATCCCCGCGCGGCCACAAGTTCCACAATTTGGTACATGACACACAATGAGCTCCTGCTCAAAATCCGAAGCCCTAAACTTTGAAGCTCTGAACAGCCTAAACCTTAAACCCCTAAACCCTAAAACCCTCAACCCTTAACCCTGAACCCTAAGCCAGAAACTCCGAACCTCAAACCCCACAGCCTGGACCCCTACAGCAAGCCTTGAGCCACAACACCTTAGAACCCCAAGTCCCGAACCATGAACCGTGAAACGTAGCACACCTTAAACACTACCTGCGCCTCCGAAGCAGGTAAAACAATGGCCCAAAACCACCCAACACCTCATCAAAATCATAACCACAAATGTTCCACATACTTCTGGGTCCAGCTAAACCCTATAGGGTTTAGGTTAGGGTTTCGGGTCCTAATCCCTAAACCTCACATCCCAAACCTTTTGCATCATTGAGCGCCTGAAGGTCAGTCTCAGGGTCTGGTGCAGGGATGCGCACAAATCAGCGCCGCTAAGGTGCGTGCATCACGGGGCTCTGAGTACTTTGGGAGTTGCGGGCTTAATGGTTAAAGGGTTTAGGCTTTCAGGCTTAGTGCTTCAGTAGGGGTTATCGGCTTAGGGTGTAAGGTTCCGGGCTTCGGGTTTCAAGGTCTGGGGGTTAGGGTTTGAGGTTTAGGGTGTAGGGGTTGGGTTTAAGGTTTGTGGTTGGTTGAGTTGGTTGGGTTCAGAGTGTAGGCTTAGGGTCTACGCTTATAGGTTTGGCATGTGATTCGTGTAAAAACCCTGTAACCACTGTTCCTATCCTATTTGAAACCTTATCGTTTTTTCTATTGGTTATCGTGTTACAGGGCTGGCCTACCAGAACTGTCAAATACTACTGGAGTTATAAACCTCATCGTTTTTCGTGTATTGGTTATCGTTTTGCAAGAAAAGCAACAAATAGGACAGCCCTTGTATAGATTCTGACAGCGGGGTTATTACCCAAGCCTAGGTGGGGTTTGGGTTGAGGGTTAGGTGGTCCAGTGTTTGACTCGCGGATATGTCTCAACACGCACACCCAATAGCAAAAATTGTGCTACGATGCCCCCAGCATGCGGCGAAGCCTGTTGAGAATGCCCCCATTGCAAAGGGGTTGCTGCGAAGAGCCACGACCCAAAGGTGTGTGTACAACTCAGGCGCCCCGATCAAAAGTGCACAAAGACCTCCGGCCGCCAGCGTCCTGACCCCTAGACCCTGAATATTCAGATGAAGGTGCCAGCACTCTGGAACGGCTCAGCTGTTCTTCCTGCTCACAAAATTTTCTTTCCCGCATACGCGAGCAGACGGCCATGTGAGCTGTAGTCCAAGCTCCTAGCGAGACCCTGTTATGGTCCAATATGTGGGGGTTTAAGACTTCAGAAGTTTGATTTGCTTTTTCAATGGGCTCCGTTCCGTCTGGCTAAAGAAGGGTCTTGGTTTGAGGTTTAGGGCTCAGGAATTATAGGGTCTAAGGATTAGATTTGAGGATTTAGGGTTTAAGGCTTAAGGCTGAGCACCCCCATCCACCCTATTTCAAAACATTATCCAGCACAGCGTGTGGAACGGAGGCTCTTAACCAGGGATGGGCTAACAAATTCTCATCGACAGCTACAGACCTAAACCGACAGAATCCGCTTCCAACAAGTCTCAAGCAGGTCCCTCCCTTAAGCACGCCCCAAGAGGAACCTTGAACTTGCAGAGCCCTACACCCAGAACCCTACACCCTAGACCCTACACACAACCCTGAACCCTGCACCCAAAACCCTACACCCTAAACACGGAATCTCGGCAGTGGAGCAAAGAGAATGGCTCAAGTCTGCGGTGGCACAGCTGCAGGCCCTGCATGGGCGAAGAGCCTCTGCCTACTCAAACTCCTAAATACTCGGGCTGAACGCCTTAGGGCCTACATTGTAGGGGTTTAGGGCTTAGGGCTACATAAGGGGATTGTAAGTGTACAGAGTAAAGGATTCAGGATATAGCGGTGCCTTCCCAAAAATAGCCTCCATAAACCGCTAGGCCAGCGGGGCTTGGGCTTCCATTTGATTTTGGAGCAGCGAACACGATGCATCCATGCTGGGCAAAACTACACGTGAAAGCCTCCTTCATCTCGATAGCCAAATACCAGACCCAAACCTCTAACTCTAATTCTGTCCATGGTTTTAAGCTAAGGTCCCCCAATTTGGACATCAAATATCCTCCTGCCCGAAACCCAACACCGCACAACCTCCAGTTCCAGAGACTCTGAAACCGAACCACCTTGAAACTTCGTTCTTAGTAAGGAATATAATACATGGGGGCTATTTACGGATGATCTTCCCTTCCCTACTAAGAACCAGTAAGAAAACTCCAAGAAATCGAGTGCGGCTCGCCCATACAAGTCTGTAATCAAAGTCAGCCGCCCACGGCCAAAGTGGAAAAGGAGCCGGAGTCAGGCAAGACAGAATTCCACGCAATCAAAAAGGAATACGACGAATAGGAGAGAGCTGGAAAGTTAGGACGTTCTCACAAAATACTTATGGCCAAATGGGAATATAAGAGATCCTGATATAATCACCGTTCTCCTTAAAAGTCCGTCTTATTCAGGTGAGAGGTCCACCTAAACGATTCGCTTCCTGAACCGTCAGCTCATCAGCACCCCTTCCTTTGACCTAACAGGAGGCCGTAAACCCAAAGGGATACATAGAGGATATAAAGAATCTTAGGGGTCCGAAGTGTTTGAGGTTTTGCCTTTGGAGCTTAGGGTCTCGGGTTCTATGTAAGATTGGATGAGTCCACAGTAAAGATTACAAGGGTTCTAGGGAGCCATGAATTTGAAAAGCTGCAATATGCATGCGCTTCTGCTTGCTAGCTTGTGTGAAACTTGAGTGAAGTTCCAGAAGAGCTTTGATTTTTGGATCTGCATCTGTTCTCGCATGGATCTCTGAGTAAAGGGCTGCGGCTGGGTGTTATGCTGGGTTTGATGCCATAAAGGCCTAAATGGTGCTATGCTGGTCTTTCATGGGTACCATTCATATATCACAAATAGAAAAGAATGCTCCCAAACCCAAGGGGGCCCGTCCGCTAATTAAGGCTTATGCAAAGTCTTCCGCCGATAGCAAACAGTCCTCACCACCTGCTATTCCCAATAGTAGGAGCCGATCTGTAAGCCTTGGCATATTCGATATTTACGAGGTGAAGGCGCTGAAGATCGGGCAGAGAGAGTTATCGGAGGAGGCTAGATAATCAGGCCTCTGGACTACACCCTTTGCACTAAAAAACCCTGTGGATCCCACTCTTCATTTCATGTTTCACTCCGTTCTCCACTCTGGTACCTAAATCCAATCCCCCTTAAGTAGATAGAATATGGGGTATAGGAGGATCTTATTAAAATCTACCCAAAGCCATATTCTATCTACTTAAGGGGGACTATATCCCCTACATAGTAATTCAGACTCGGCTCGTCTGCCTGACTCTCATTCCGGAAGGCCCACTGTTGACCGCGAGGGACACATGAGATCGGCATTTCTCAAAATTAAAGTCCCCTTAGATGCTCGCCAGCCCGTACCTATTCTAAGATTCAAAGGTTCCAAGGTTTTACCCCTAAGCAATTCCCCCAACATGAGCCCAATGCAACCTCTAAAAGTACAAGCCAAGGGGAACAGCCCTTAACCCCTTTCAGAGAGGGCCCAGAATTTGGGGAAATCCCTATGGGCAGTCTGCCACCTGAATTCGTGCGCTGTATCGCTTCGGATTCAGAGTGTGAGGGAGGAGGTTGACGCTTCGTCCCGGAAATGCCACTCCACATGAGCCATAATCCATATAGTCCCCCTGAAGTGGATAGAATATGGTTTTGGTATAGTATAATAAGATCCGTATATACCCCATATTCTATCTACTTAAGGGAGACTATAAACTCATCAAAGGGGGTAATGATACGAGGAACTTAGACTCTCGCTAGAATGCTTGAGAAAAGCTTCTTGGGGAGGGTCTGGGACCTTTTCTGGGGCCCGTGGTAATCCGAAAGCCCCGAAGATGAGATTTAAGCGTTTAGGATTACATTCCACAAGTGCCTGAAGAAATGACAGAGCTTCCGGAAACAGCCTCAACAACTTGAGCATGCTTGCCAAAAACTATCTCACACTGTCCTAGTAAGTTTTGTACAAAACAGAGCTCCCAACGATGCAGAGATCTAAGAAGTATTGGTCGTTGGTAATTGCCCTCCTCCAGACTAACATGGAACCCCGTCAGCTGCCTTTTACAGACTGCCGTCCGAGACGCCCACATACGTAGCTTCAAGACCTATCACGCCCTATCCGGTAAAAAAGACCCAGACAACTACTCAGCAAGGAGCTTGCTGATTCGGTAGTTTCCCAAAATAAGGGGATCCCAATATAGACCCCAAAATACAATAGTCCTTACTACAGGGACCCCCAAAATGATACCCCTAATTTTTGGGAAACCACCATTTAAGGTTTAGGGCTGACGTGACCTGTATACCTACGACGGGGCTTTGTTGCCAAGGCCCCTCCCCGCATTCACCCTGACTGTGCGGCGTGCAGATTCAGAAGCTACTTCCTGTCAAGGTAAACCACATACATGCAGTCTCTTGTGGTGGAATGTAGGGTTGCCAAAAATTACCTGTACCACTTTGGGGGTTCCAATAATAAGGATTAAAGTATTTTGGGGTATAAAGCGCTTCCCCCTGTTTATGGAAATTACCGTGTCCTAGAAACCATCCAAACTACTACATCCTCGCAATCATAAAACCCAGCATATCCTAGAAGCCATGCCCACTAACCCTTCTGGTTTACCGCAGGTTCTGAGAAGGTTCTGGGCCGTCCGGCTCAGCAGCTGGCACGACGCAGTGCCTCCATGGATTCACGCACCTGTCGGGAAGGATCGTTTAGAGCAACCCTAAACACTAAACCATTTGAGCATCCCTCTTAATTACCCCTACAATACTCCCCTATATAAGCCCCTACACAACATCCTTCAAAGGAGTTTAGACTATAGCCCATTTAGAGATACTGGGCTTGAGGGTTTAAGTTCTTGGTGTCTTGTTTGAAGGGTTTAGGGGCTTCGAGGACTTAGTATCTAGGGCAATTGAGGTTTTGGGTGTCTTAGGGGGGCTGGCTAGCGTTGAGGATTTGAGGAATTGGGGCTTAGGATTTAGCGTGTGCGTTTGGGGCTTGGGGTTTAAAAAAAGGTCAGGACTCGAGATTGTCGAGCTTCGGTCAATACCCCACCCAGCAATGGGTACCACAAGGGACTGTTGTAGGTACTGTAGGGCGGGGGATTGACTTAAGGTAGAGTCGATTTACCAAATAGGTTCACGGGCTTTTAGGGCCTTTGATTCATGAGGGCTGTTATGGAAACCCCTGACCCTAAGCCCAAAACCCTAAGCCCTGCACCCTGAACCCTAGACCCTAAGACCTAAGCCCGAAATTCTGTGGAAGCATCGCATCTTACAGGTTCCGCCTTCGAAGCTTTGGGCCAGTCCCAAACCCCAGGCTGTGGTGCAGGGTTTAGGGTTTAAGGTTTAGGATCTAGGGTTTAGGGTATGATATGTTTATGTTTTGGCCCTAAATTCTAAACCCCAAAGCCTAAGGCTCGAGGGTTGAAATTCTACACATACAGGTTGCTTGGTTCGAGGATTTGAGGCCCCCAACCCCTAATGCAGAAGCCAGACTACTTGGCAATGCTATCCCCTAAGAACCGTACATAACTTTCAGCATGATATACCCTAAAAAGCCCTATTTAGGCTATTTAGGGGCGCAGTAGCCAACGCAAGAGAAATCCTAGCCCCTAAACCTAAGTAGCCTAAATCCCAAACCCCCCCACCCTAAACCCTAAACCCTTCAAACCCCACCTGGATCTTGCCCCCCTCCGTGCACTTTCGCGCGGCCAAGCTCGCAATGGCAGCGAAGCTAGCGGGGCGCAGGCAGCGCACCAGGCGGCGTGGTGGGGCACCTGAGGGTTAAGCTTCATTAGGATCTACCTGAAGCCCCAAAAGTAGGTCAAATAATAGCTCGAGATCATTTAAAAACAGCTCAAAAAACAATTATTTTACGTCCTTTAGGGGTTCAGGTAAGGTTGAAACCATGTGTTTCAAGGTTTGGGTGAGCTCAGTGTACATGGTTTGCGCTTTGGACTTCTAGGGAACCGTAAACCTTGAACGGCTTGGGGTCCATGGCTTTAAGTGCTTGGGGCTCGAAGCTTAGGAACTTCCAGGGATGCTTAGATGGAGGCTTTAGGGCGGATCGGCTTCAGGCTTACATGGAATCAGGGCATGTAGGGACATTTTCGGGGGCGTCAGAAGTTGCGTTTCAGGGAGTATTCCCCTAACCCTAAACCCTCAAGCCCATATGAACTTACCATTGCTTAGGTTTCTCATTTCCTTAATCTCACAGTTTTGAAAGCTTTAAGCTCAAAAACCTGCCCCCCAAAACCCTATGTAATGGTAATAGACCTTAGGTTTGACTCCAACATGGCTCCTCTGATACGCATGGGGCGCTTTTAAAGTCGTTTTCTAGTTCTTGGGACTGAAATATCTAGGGTATACGATTGCTAGGATGTTATGGGCTTCGAGATTTGGGGGTCTAGGGTCTCCATTATTCAGTTCTTAAGGTTCAGGATTGAAGGTTTGAGGGTTCCCTAAACCCTAGACCCCAAGCCCCAAACCCTAAACTTAGGGTTTGGGAGTTGGAGGGCTTTACCCTGACATCTGGGTAGCGTTTTTTTGGTGGTTGAACCTAGTAAGATAATATTCCTTATATAAACTACTATACCCGAAAAGGAGCATATAATCTTACTCTAGAGTGGGTACCATAGTATCCCCAAATAAAATACTACTCATCTAGCGCGGAGGGCCTCCCCCGGATGAACAGCCCGTTGGATTCGGCTCTTCGGATTTCAACTCCGCTTCCAGCACCTCTTTGCAAGGTTTAGGGTTTAGGGTTTAGGGTTTAAAGCTGAGGGTTTAAGGTAACCCTAAACCCCAATTCAGGTCTGACAGTTTTGGGATTGAGTCTTGGGCTCTGCAAGCAGCCGCGCCTCAGGGATGCTTCAAATGCCAGGGAGCTTAAGGCGGGTTATGGGAGTCCAGTGCCCCATGTAAGGAGGTTGCAAGGTAAGGCGGGCTCCATACGTACCATATGAGCCATTATCTAAACTCCTAGTATCCCCCGTACAAAGCTCCCCTATATAATCCCCTAAAAACCACATTTCAGGAGTGATTACTATACCTCATATGGGTTGTATAGACACCCCGTATTAAATCCCTTATACACTTTCAACCTCATCGTTGTTTTCTATTCCTTATCGCCTGACAGTGCTTGGGGCTCCTGTAAGCTTATCCGTTTTGACTGCTCCTTATTGCTTTACAAGGTCAAACGCTATCTCGGCACACTCATGACATAACGTAGAGAAGCTGGGTTATTTTACAACCCCTGTGTATTCTGCCAAGCCCAAAAGCTGTTCACTGCTTAAGAAACTCACGAGGCACATTGAAGATGGCCTCAGCACCACGAATCCCAGCATCACGGGCTTTGTCCTTGAGAAAACTTGGCAGGTCTTGGAGTCTTGGTTTATGTGGCTTCGGGCTTTGGACTTAGGCTTGAAGGTTTTTAATGCTCAGGGTTTCGGGTTCAGGGCTTAGGGTTCAGGGCTTCGGGCTCAGGGCTTAGGGTTTAGGGATTTGGGCTTAGGATAGGGGACCCTCTCCAAAAGACTAAGGGGCAACGTGTAAGCTTCAATTTAGCCCTCTAGTCTTGTCGACACCCTGTCGCTAGCTAGACAATGTCGGGCTTGAATTAAAAGTGCCTTCTTGAACATATACAGGGTTTTCTAGGAAGCTTGGTCATTGTGAGTCATTGTATACCAGCGTTTACATGGAGGATCACACAACTTTGAGGGGGCTGAAGGCTAGGCATCTTAAAGGAGGGGTTTCAGGATTCTAGGGCTTGGCCTTGCACCCTAAACCCTAAATCCTGAAACCAAAAGCCTGGGAGCAACTATTCGGGCCGTGCTGGCTCATACGCAGGCCTCCGCAGAATAGATAACTCTTCCCTATACACGGAGGTTTCCCAAATGGACTATAATATTCAAGCGTGTCTGATGAAGGCCTATTCATTCTCAAAGGGTAAACCGCACGATCATCCCGTGAGAGTGTTCCCAGGAGTAGGGGCACATGCCCTGTACTCTTTTGATATGGGAAGAGCTTCTACAACATTCTCACAAAATCCCGAAGCGGGACCCCTGGAATCCCTTCACAACATGTTTCCGGCCAAAGGATGTTGTGAGGAAATCTCAGCACTTAACCCCCAACCCGAGATCTTTGATTCCCAAACATGAATTCCTGAACTCTGAACTCTTTAACCGTTAATCCTAAAGGACCCAAACTAACATGGAACTTCATACAGGGCCCTATATCGACTACTCTCCTTGAAATTACTGGGTTGCTGTTAA